TTTACTCGGGAAATTCTTTACAAAAACTGGCCTTGCTTTCTTCCCTTTTTTCATCCTGAGTGCACAGCCCTAAGGAGTGCAGTGAGCGCCCCTACACTTTGTGGCACATTCTGCTTCCGGCAGTTTTCCCCAGAGGGTTACATGGTGGACCCCCAGAAAGGTCTGTCCATGTCCTGACCTGGAATCTGTGAATGTGACCAACCTTATTTGGGAATAGGGTCTTTGCAGATGTAGTTAGTCAAGGAACTTGTGATGAGCCGGTCCTGGATTACCCAATGACAGGTGTCTGTTCATTCACAGCTCTACTCTTATCAGAACACTGTCCAGCATATAGAAATGGATCCATAAACACTTGTGCAATTGAATTTTTTTTAAAAGAATCTGCCCTTTAATTTTACCCTAATAAGAGAAATGGAAGCTAGGCCACTCTTCCCCCATCAAAGATTCAAAAGTTTAATCCCAGGCTGAGCGCTTAGGAAAACAGACACCCTTTAACATTACCAGTGGGAAAGTAAACTGGTCCAGCCTGCGTGAGGGTTGATGATACTTATCCAAATACTGAGTATGGATCCTTCAACCCAGCAAGTCTGTTTTCTAGAATTTATACTGAGCACATATAAAAGTGTAAGTGTTGGGGCGCCTGGGTGGCTCAGTCGTTAGGTGTCTGTCTTCGGCTCAGGTCATGATCCCAGGGTCCTGGGATCCAGCCTCATGTCCCACTGTCCCACTCCCTGCTCGGCAGGGAGCTTGCTCCTCCCTCTCCTGCTCCCCCTGATTGTGTTCCCTCTCTCTCTCTGTCTCTTTCTGTCAAATAAAATCTTAAAAAAAAAAAAAAAGCGTAAAGTGTCTGCTGCACTCCCACAATTTGTGGGGAGCTTGGAACAGCAGCAGGTAAGCCAAAGACGTCGGCGCCATCTTGGAGCCTATCCTACGTACGAGGTCATTCAGTCAAGACTGGGAGCAACCTACTTGTCCACCAGGTGGGGAGATTACGGTGCCCCAACAAAGGGATATGCACTGTACAGAAGGCTGCAAACCCTCTTTACACTGATAGAACAAAGCAGAACACAGGACCGGGAGGCGGTGTACGACAAGCCTCTCTCTGTGAAAAGGAGGTGTGTATGTAACAGGCATCCAGAGTTTCTGGAAGGACCAGTGCAAGATCAGTCGCAGTGACTGTCTCTGGGGTCAGTGTGTTCTGGAAGATTTCTCTGTTCATGCCTTTTTGTACCTCAGAACATCAAACCAAGTCAAATGACTCAACAGCAATTTGCACAGTTATTTCTACAGTTTTACAAAGCTTAGGCCCCACATAGGCCTCTGAGTCTCATCCCAACATCAAGATTGGTTGTCAGCTGCGATGTAAAACGTCCTTTACTTCAGGCTGTGAGAAAAACCTGGTACGATAGGATCACACAGCAGCCAGTGTCAGGGTAAGACATTTGCAAAGTCCTTGGCTCATGTTGAACCATCCTGCATTACCTGTTCAACCACAAATCAATTCTTGCTTTGTAAATACCTCGAATGTCTCCGGTAGGAAGCAAACAGTGTCCTCAAGGTGTGCCCTCTACTTCCTGTCCTGTGCCACACAGAACAGTCCTGTCTGCTGTCCTCTCCACTTTCCATAACCTCCTAGGGTTCCCTCTTGCTATCTGGGCTGAGCTCTGGAACTCTGGTGTCCCCTCCTGTGCCCTGGGTTTCCTCCTCCTGCTCTGCCTCTGTTCAGGCTCAGCTATATTTAGCCACTGTGTCTTGAAGGAATGCCCAGTCCCAGGGCCCTTCCTTGGAGCTGTCCTGTGCTCTTTTTCAGAGATCAAGCACAGCCTGGCTCTATCTGGCACCCCTTGGGATTCGTGACTTTATCATTATCCCAAAATAAACCTCACGTACAAAACCTCTTGAGTTTCAGCTTTTCCTCCTGGACCCCTGAGCCCTGACCGGCTGCAAGGAGCATGACAAAGAGGGCATTCAGGGGCCTCTGAATTGTGGCAAGAGGGGGCCCTGTGGCTCACTGCCCTCAGTGTGCATGGGTCCCTCGAGAGAAACCGACCTGCTTTTTAATCTGAAGTGGAATGAGTAAGGGGGGGGGGGGGGGGTGCTGAGAAAACTCTACATTCCATCACCACAGGTGAAACCGTTCTACTTGTGCTTAAGGGAGTAGATGGGCCTCTGATCTCAAATTGTCTTTGTTCTTATATTCAATTGGCCAAGTACATGACTTGCTCTGAACTTTTTCTGCAAGAACTCAGAGCACTCTTATGATGTCATCCTGGCCTGCGGACCCTGTATTGCTCTCCTGGAATAATGTAACTGTAGTCTGCAGTTCACCTGGGAATCCAGCTCATGTGTTTGACCCCCGGGAGCATACAGTTAGGACCCTCTAGCTTCTGTGTCTGCAAAGATATTCAGAAGTATTTTTCCTAGAGCTCTTTAATCCATGGCCAACTGTAATTACGAGCCACCCACCCCTCCAATTGCATTTGCCACAGTATGGGCACTATCTACATGAGGTCTCCTCCAATCATCAAACACAGACCATGGGAAAAAAACAACATAACCAGTGGGGCTCCTGGCTCACATCACGCCCCTGTAGCTCTTCCCCACCTACAGAGACTGTGTTTCCTTGTGTGCTGTTTCCATTAAGAATGGGTGGGGAGGGACCTGGGTGGGTTTTACACTGGCCCTTCCCAGGCAGAAGGCATCAAGACCCAGTGGCTCACCAAGTATGTGTGAATAGCCTTGTGAGATGAATATTCAGGGAGCACCTTTGCTAATGTGATAACCTGATGAAGTAATTCTCCAATTCTGAGCCCTGGAGCTTAGTCAATGTACATATTTCTACCCTGTCCCCAAGCACAGCAGCCTCCAGTGACTGAAAATGTCCCTTCTGCAGGATTCCAAATCTACTGGAGACGAAGTATAAAGAACGTGTTTTTAGGAGTGGGCCACAGGTGGTCTCATAACTATAGAAATTACCTTCATCCACATCTTTCCAAGTTGGGTTAATGATTGACCCCAATCATTTCTACTGTGCTGCTCAGTTGAAACTCTTTAATACCTGGAAATATGTGCCTTTATTTGCAAGATCTGAGTGGCAAGTTCCAGTTGTGGAAGGACTAACATTTCTTTGATTCTGATATTCTATGGACAAACGGCCAAGTGTTTTAACTTTGGTGTCACTTTCAACTCAAATAAACCCCAGTTCCCATCTTACCCAGGCGCTTCTCTGCTCACAATAAAAAAGGAGGTATGGGGGCGCCTGGGTGGCTCAGTGGGTTAAGCCGCTGCCTTCAGCTCGGGTCATGATCTCAGGGTCCTGGGATCGAGCCCTGCGTCGGGCTCTCTGCTCAGCAGGGAGCCTGCTTCCTCCTCTCTCTGCCTGCCTCTCTGCCTGCTTTGTGATCTCTGTCAAATAAATAAATAAAATCTTAAAAAAAAAAAAAAAAGGAGGTATGTACTCTTTTCCCTCCATGTGTGGGGCCCAGGTGACTATCAGTTTACCCACATGAGTTCCTTATGACCTCATGAGCGCTCAGGTGGGCTTAAAATACTCACTGGACTTTTCAATCAAAAGTATGGGCTGAGCTTGGTACCCTTGCACAGGAAGGAAATGGTTATCTTGACTTTGACTTGTGACTAACAGGTGGAACTTGTCACTGTACCTAGACTTCCAACTAACCAGCTCAGAAGTCAGTCGCACCTACTTGCTAGAGCCTAGAGCCCTGGGAAAATTTGATCAGGTTTCTCTTCTAGGGGATCCATACCTCATTTCTGATTCTTGGCTTAAAAGCAGCCGTTAGGCTCACATCTACGAGCTTGGGATCCTCTCACTGCTACCAGCAACCTTAGGCCATGTCTGGCTTCCTCCTCTCCATAGGGCCATTTCTATGGCTCATCCGGCACTTTTTTTGAGGGTGGGTGAGTAAATGACCTAGGATGATAAAAGATATGGTTTCTATGAACATCTAGTGAGCTGACTGATCCTTTTGCTTCCTCATTTTGGTCATGCCTCACAGGACAAAGCTTCAGATAAGTACTCTTTTTTTTTTTTTTAAGATTTTATTTATTTATTTGACAGAGATCACAAGTAGGCAGAGAGGCAGAGAGAGAGGGGGAAGCAGGCTCCCCACGGAGCAGAGAGCCCGATGTGGGGCTCCATCCCCGAGGACCCTGGGATCATGACCTGAGCCAAAGGCAGAGGCTTAACCCGCTGAGCCACCCAGGCGCCCCTCTTTCGGTGTATTGATTGGTTTAATTTCCATGATGCTATTTTGCATAAGCAAAGCACTGTAAATCTTATAATTTAAAAGTAAATTACTTAAGAACAAGAAAAAAAGAACAAAAACGAAATAAGTAGGGGCGTTTGATTCAGACATGGGTCTCCTGCAGGACAGGGTCCTTTCCCAAGTGTTCACAGCACGGGGCTCCCTAGCTCACATTTCCCTATAATAAGTGACCTCTTGAGGTCACCTTGCTAGCCGGCCTCCTCCAGAGGCCACTGCAGGTATCTGCTCCTTCCAACCAAAGTCAGATGTGTGTGGGGTGGTGGGGGGAGGTGGGTTCACAGGCCTCTTGACGCCCTCCTGCAATTCCAGCATCAAACGTGCCTGAGGTCCCGCAGGCACTGCAGTGTCTTCGTCTGGACACCGGCACGCAAGCCTCGGGAGCGCGCCTCCCTTTGGCCCCGGCTCCGCGCTCCCCCAGCCTCCCCGCAACCTTCCTCTCCCGCCCTGCGCCCCCACCCCGCGCCGCCTTCCTCGCCGCACTGACCCGCACTTCGCCCACTCCGCCCGCCCCGCCCCGCGCCCTCCCCGCCCCCCTCCACCCAGCTCGGCGCCCCCAGCGCCCGCCCCTCCTGCGCTCGCCAGCCCCGCCCTCACCTGCGGCCGCTCCGCGGGGCGGGGCCGCCCGAGGATGACAAAGCAGCGGCCGGCGGCGCGGGACCCGCCCCCCGCGCTCGGCGGGTGCGTCGGCCGCCTCGGCGCGGCTGTTATGGAAACCGGCCCGGCGCGCGGGAGGCGATAATGGGGCGGCCATGGCCCGGGCCGGCAGCTCCAGCGGCGACGCGGCGGCGGGGCGGCGGGCGGGGGACGCGGGGCGGCCGGAGCCGTGGGAGCTGTCCCTGGAGGAGGTGCTGAAGGCGTACGAGCAGCCCATCAACGAAGAGCAGGCGTGGGCCGTGTGCTTCCAGGGCTGCCGCGGGCTACGGGGCGCGCCGGGCGGCGGGCGGCGCATCCGGGACACGGCGGACATCCTCCTGCGCCGGGACGGCTCGGTCAGCGCGCGGCGGGAGCCGTGCGCCGCGGGTGAGGGTCGGCGGGCGCGCGGGGGTGTGGCCGGGCGCGCGGGCCGCGCCGGGGATGGGGGAGGGGGCGGCTACGACCCTCCTCCGGGCCCTCTGGGTCCCCTGGGTCCTCGTCCTGGCCCTCTGGGTCCTGGCCCCCTCTCCCCCTTCTCCCTCCTCTCCCCACTCTCTCCGCTCCCCGTCTCCTCTCCTTCCTCTCCTTCCCGGTCCTCCGCTTCCGCACCCTCCCTCCGCTGGGCCCGGAGTCCCCAGTCTGCACCCTCCCCGCTTCCTGGGTCCGGCCACCCGTCCACACCCTGGCTCTGCGGTACGTGGAAGTCCCATGCTTCTCCCCGCCCTTCTCTTTCTCACCCGGCCTGGGATACCCCCTCCTTTCCCCGGAACCTTTCCCTGACCATCCATCTCTCAGCCTCCGGGCGGGCTGCGGTCAGTTGGCTCCCTGCAGTTGGGCATGTTTTACTCAGCGGAGAAGGATTTTGGTTTTTGATGGCTGAGTACTTTCAGTAGACCCAATTCTCCGTCTCCTACCCCCAGTTCCCCCCCACCTGGGGCTAGTTCCTTCTGCTTTGGGGGTGTGTAGCCCTCAGTCTTTTGTGATTCATGGTGAGAAGCCCTCAGTCGCTTGTCTTACTGGTGACTGCAGATGGCTTAGGCTGGAAAGGAACAAGTGTCCTTTTGAAGTCTTTTTTCGTGGGAATGAGGGTGGGAGGAGGGGGCTGTGTCTCCCTTGGAGTCCCTGCAAATTCACCAGTTGCCTGGGTTTAATAGTAAGGAGAATGTAAAATTTGGAGGATGGCCTGCTTGGTTTTTCTGCTCTTAATTATCAAGAACAAACAATCCCTTGAAAGATATTGAAGTCTGCTCAAAATAGTGAGTTTAAGTGATTTTTATTCTCCTTCTTAGAAAAAAAAAAAAAAGTGTTTTCTTTCCTGGAGAACTGAAGTGGTAGTCTGCAGCATTTGGAGATATTAACCCCAAAGCTGTTATCCTGTGGGGAAGCACAAAGGCCAGCTCTGTGTGCTGCTAGGGAGCTGGGTTTGCAGAGGTCCTCCTGGGCGGGCTTTATGGAGGACAGGGAAGGAGCAGGACAGAGCTGCACAGAAGCCACACTGGTGACAGGCGGGTGCACTGGGCCCACACAGGGACCAGCACTGTATTTCTCCACAGGGTCCTCCTTACCCCTGTGACCAGCTCCCAGCTCTGCCTGCAACTCTGCTGTGCACTTATTTCATGCAAAAAGCACCAATGTATTTGACAGGTGAAAATAATAAGAGTTGGTACTCAAATGGCATTATTCCCATTTTATACTCTGTTAAGCTGAGGCTCAGGCTTGCCCAGGAGGAGGATTTGGATTCAGCCTCATAGTCTTGTTTGCTGTGTGCAAGGTCTTCACAGGTAGGGTGGGGAGTGCTTCCCCTGGGGAGCTAGATCCTGCATTTTCACAAGGAGCTTTTCTCCTGAAGCTGTGTTTTCCTCCCTGTGCCCATCCCCATCCCCAGAGATAACCGTCTAATCCAAGATCTGGCTCCCTGCACCAGGGGGTGGGACAAGAGTATATCAGCCTGCCGGGTCAGACCCCTCTGATTTTGAAGATGGGAAAACTGAGACGCAGAGTGACAGCTGGTTAGAACTAAGGGCCCCCACGGGGCGCCTGGGTGGCTCAGTGGGTTAAGCCGCTGCCTTCGGCTCAGGTCATGATCTCGGAGTCCTGGGATCGAGCCCCGCATCGGGCTCTCTGCTCAGCGGGGAGCCTGCTTCCTCCTCTCTCTCTGCCTGCCTCTCTGTCTGCTTGTGATCTCTCTATCAAATAAATAAATAAAATCTTTAAAAAAAAAAAGAACTAAGGGCCCTTGCATATCTCTAACTGTGGGAGAGTCAAGCCGTGTTTCTTACTGGTACTCTCCAAGATGCTCCTTGATGGCTCTCCTTCATGTCGGTGGTCACCAGGTTCTCTCCAGTCCCCAGGGATCGGACTCCTACTTCCTCCTCCTACTGCCTGCACACCCACAACCTGACTGGAAATCCAGGCACGTGGCTACTCTAGGGAACTTGCTGGCTCAGGACATGAGGGAGCCCAATTCCGTCTTCCATTCAATATGGTCTTTGGTTTCTATTCATAAACATGTCTCATAAAGGTGGATGATGTTTATGACTTGTTGCCTCTTTGGAGATTAAGAAAAATAGGGCGCCTGGGTGGCTCAGTGGCTGAGGTGACTCCATCTCGGCTCAGGTCTTGATCTCAGGGTCGTGAGTTCAAGCTCCTCATTTGGGTTCCACGCAGGGCATGGAACCTACTTAAAAAAATAAAGATTAAGAAAAATAGATTACCCTGAACTTTCTCTTCAGTCCTGTTGGGCTTTCAGACTTTATTTTGTTGGCAGTGGCTAACCCAGCCGAGTGAGGGGTTAATTCATGAAGCTGATGTGTTTATTTCTTGCTGTGACTAGCAATCAGGAAAATCAAGATCGTTTAATATAGCCTCACGTGGGCTCTCAGTACAAAGTTCTGGTAAATCTAGCATTAAGTAAATGTTTAAAATAACTAAAGAAATCAACAAACGAAACCACGTTTGGGGGAATGATTAATGTCCTAGCATACAAGGTGTGGTACCTCTCCCTTCTTCCCGCCAAGTGGGGGAAAAGTCCTAACCTTTAACCTGAAGACTTTAAAACTGCTGGAAACCCCCCTTTTTTTAAGTGGAGAAAGTGTGTTAATATGTGAAGTTATTTTTAAGAGGCCATTGATAGGGAAAGGGTTACCCTTTTTTTTTTTTTTAATTGAGGTGAGAAACTCTGCCAGACATCACAATGAATGCTTGTGCCCAGCTGTTCCCTGAGGCAAAGCTAATTCCCTAAATGCAGCTGGGTCAGTGATCCAGTGACCCTGGGATGTTTTCAGGGGCATTTGTCCACTGGAGGGTGTCCTGGGCAGATCACCCCAGGAGAATGACTGCTCCCCAATGCAGTATTTGGCCGTCCCCTTGATGGAAAGACCCCCTGCCTTTCTGGCCTACACTGCTGATGAGACATTTCAGGAAAACCCCCAGGGACAGACATGAGTGTTGACAAAGGTGTGTCTGAGATGGGGGTGAACTCATCACCTCCCACGTTTCCCATCCTGCTTATGCTAATTCACACACTGCCCTACTTTCCTAATGTTTTTTTTTGTGAGTTTTTTTTTTTTAATATTTTATTTATTTATTTGACAGACAGAGAGCACAAGTAGGCAGAGAGACAGGCAGAGAGGGGGGGGGAGGCAGGCTTCCTGCTGAGCAGAGAGCCCGATGCGGAGCTTGATCCCAGGACCCTGAGACCATGACCTGAGCCGAAGGCAGAGGCTTTAACCCACTGAGCCACCCAGGCGCCCCTTTTTTTGTGAGTTTTGATGCTACTACTTTTCACAGGCTCTTCAGCTTGGGTCCCCCATATGAGCTGCCCAGCAGCCCTCCAACCCCACCCCGGGGCTCTAGCCCCTTCCTGCTCTTTCTTCTGCCTGGAGTTCAGAGGCCAGCTGTTCCCATCCTCCAGCCAGAGCCCTGGCACCAGACCTCAGGGTAAGGCTCTCCAAGTGGCCCACCACCGCACAGACTCCAGGCCTTCCCAACTCAGCTCATTTTCAGCCTGAGTTTCAAACACAGAAATGATTAATGGTCTGTCCTGTATTGGATGGTGGTAGCCTGTGTCAGGAGCTCCGTGGGGCCCAGAATTCTTTTTCACTGCAGCTCGTAGCTAGAGAAACGGCAGTGTTCAGGAGCAGGCTTCAGCATTTCCCCAGTGGCCTAGCCCTTCTCCGTAGATGTGGTGGCAGTCGCACCAGCCTGGGGTGGGTGAGGACTAGTGAGGGAACATCAGTACAGAACCCCAGGCCCAGAGTTGTGTGCACGTGCAGACACACAACACACATGTGCATGGTCACAGACACTGATACATACAGGTGCATAAGTACACACCACACACACACAGATGGCCACAGACACATAACACACAACACACACACACGGTCACAGACACCCATACATACAGGTACACACACACACACACACACACTGTGCCCCTTCCTCTAGAGCTGTCTCTGAGGCTCCCCACATGTGCACACGGGGCTGCCCATCCCCCTACTAGAGATGTTCCTTCAGGTCTCTTGGCCCAGAGTGCCCTGTCCCAGGAGCTGAGCTGGGACCCATGGCTATCAGGAAGGGCTCTGGGCCCTTGGTGTTCTGGGAGTCCCTGCTGGGCCTGTGGGCTCCATTGGTTCACACTGGACTTGGTGGGCCTCTGGGGGAGCCCCCTTCTCAATGGCTGGGGACGATCTTTTTAGCTTGGCTGTATTTTGGTAAACGGCCCCCCCCACAGGTGAATGTGTAGGTGAGTGCTGACGGGACAGCAGGATGGCGGGATGGCGGGATGGCGTCCCCTGACAGGCTGGGCAGAGGGGAGAGCTGGTTGGAAAGAGTATTTCCCTCCTGGCAGATCTCCTCACAGAATATTTCTGGTGGGAACACTTTCTTTCTGTCAGGTCCTGCCCTTGTGGTTTTTGTTCTGGGTTCTTGACTCGTCACTGGCGCTGCAGGTGCCACCCGTCCTTGCTGGCACATGCGGGCCCTTGGCGTGCGGGGCTCTCTCTGCTCTCTGTGGCACCTCGTAAGGGCCGTCCAGTGGAGATGTGGTGTGGAGGTGAAGCCAACACACCCAGGGGCTTCACAGTCCGGGAGACGGTGGCTGACATTGCTGGGCTTCTGCAGGAGTGTGCCAGGCAATGCTGGGCCTACACTTGTTTATACCCTGTGATGCTGTTGGGGTCCCCATTGCACAGATGAGAAAAGCGAGGTTCCCACAGCAAGCATCCCGTCACCTGGTGCGGCGGCGGGGGCAGGGAGGCTGCAAGTGTGGACTCAGCTGGGCTCCAGCCCTGCTCCGACCCTCAGCTGGGCCTTGGGGAGTGACTTGTGATTCTTCTCTGGAAAATGGGAAGATAAAAGCACCTATCGCCTAGGCTCTGTTAAGC